TTCTCAAAAACTCAGTGAATGGGGAGAAAAGAAAATGTTCCAACTAGCTCCAGCCAGATAAAATCCAGACAGACTGTGATGAGTGTAAGTTGCACACCTATCCATGTGGTTAGAGGATGAGAAACTCTGGGACAGTTTGGGCTACCAGGCCATTTCTGTATTTGTAGAGAGGAAAGAGAAGATATATATATATAATTATTATATAAACATAATATATATATCATATGTAAAATATATATGATAAAGAGTGTTGGAAGGTGCTGTATCCAGCAAATAATTAGTGTCTAATATACCTTCACATCTAAACTTCAGGTTCGTTTAAGAGCAAGAATCTGTCTTTAGTTCTAGGTTCACCATGACAGCTATCGCAGTGACAGGTACATGCAAAACAGGTACTAAAGAAATATCTGCTGATCAAACCAAAGGAGTGTTCAGCAAATTTTCATTTACCAAGTAAGTACGTATAACCCTTCTGGGCTGGGCGTGGTGGCTTATGCCTGTAATCTCAGCACTTTGGGAGGCCGAGGGGGAACAGATCACTTGAGGTCAGGAATTCAAGATACACCTGGCAATATGGTGAAATCTCGCCTCTACTGAAAATACAAAACTTAGCCAGACATAGTGGCATGCGCCTGTAATCCCAGCTACTTGTAGGAGAATCACTTGATCCCAGGAGGCGGAGATTGCAGTGAGCCAAGATTGCACCACTACACTCTAGTCTGGGCAACAGAGTGAGACTCCATGTCTTTCTCTCTCTTTCTCTCTCTCTTCTCTCTCTTTCTCCTGTCCTCTCTCTCTCTCTCTCTATATATATATATATGTATATACACACACACACATATATAGATATATGTATATATATCTCTGTGTGTGTGTGTGTGCATGTGTGTGTAAAACCCTTTTGACAAGCAGGAACTCTTTTGCTTTTAGCATCAAACACAGGTAGACACATATCAGTGTCCACATCCTATTAACTCTCTTGCTTTCCTGTTCTGTGGAGTTGTCTAGCAATATTCTGTACAAGACCTATTTCCAATGATCACTGTAGTAACAGACATTGAGGGAAATTAGCCCTTGTATTATTTCACTCATTATGTCACTGTGTCTGGGCAGAGAGAGGTGAGTGTCTTTCTCACTCTTCATATAAGGTAAACTAGGCAGCAGATTAGACTAAGACCATGTCACAGTTTATGCTGGCTAATTTCTGAACAGAGCCTCAATCTGACATTAACTCCAACCAACTATGCTGCTTTTTTCTTTTTTCTTTTTCTTTTGTATTATTTGGGTAAATGTCCAAACTTTCTTTCCTGCTACATTTTTTTCTTATTAGTATGACTAAAGATTTATCAATATTATTTATTTTTTCAAAGCATTGGATTTTTGGTTTGATCTTTTCTACTGTTTTCCTGGGTTTTTTTGGTTTTTTTTTTTTTTTTTTTTTTTTTTAATTCCCTTTTGCTCTTCTCTTTAATATTTTTGTTTTGGATTTAATTTGCTCTTCTTTTTCTAGTTTATTAAGGTGAAACTATAGATTATTGATTTGACAACTTTGTTTTTTTGAGATAAGGTCTGGCTATGTCACCCAGGCTGAGGGGAAGCTGGGGTATAGTGGCATGCTCATAGCTCCCTGTAGCCTCTGCCTCCCAGGCTCAAGTGATCCTCCCACCTCACCCTCCTGAGTAGCTGGGAATACAGGTGTGAGCCACCATGCCTAACTAATTTTGATATTTCTTTTCTCTTTTTCTTTTTCTTTCTCTTGTTGGTACATGGGGTCTCACCATGTTGCCCAGGCTGGTCTCAAACTCCTGGGCTGAAGCTTTCTTAGCTCCTCGGCCTACCAAAGTGCTGAGATTACAGGTGTGAGTCACTAGTCCCGGCCAACTGTGCTGCTCTTTAGGATCATTTTAATTCTGCTTTAAGATTTGAGAAGGACAAACTGTGCCACTAAACAATTGTAGCATTTAAGTTGAAAAATATCAAGCAGTCTTTATGTTGCCTTAGTTTGTTTCTACTTCTTTCTTTCTATATTGACGTCAAGGGGTGTGTGTGTGTGTGTGTGTGTGTGGTACCCCAACGAAGTAATTGCTGCAGATTCCTGAAGGTCACACACTTTTGGATTATTTTGTATGTGAATGTGTGTGTGTGTATGCATCAATGGATTTTATCTACCCATAACTCTGGATTCACAGCACTCATAATTAAAGAGACACCAATGAGAACCATACTCATCCTATAGCCAACATTCTAAATATCTAATTAAAAACTAGCAACATAATGGGAGCTCTAATGTGGGGGTTCCTGAAAGAAATACATTTTAAGTTAGGTTTGGTTGGGAACTGAGTGGCAAATATACACTTGATCACAAAAAGCAATGCTAGATATTCTAAAATGGATAGTATTTCTTATCTGGCAGGTACTAAAAATAAATTCATTTAGTCAAGTGCAACGTTAAAAAAATAATGAAGGACTTCTGTTTCTGGGAACATGGTGTAGAAGTACATTTCCCTATTCATCCCACTAAGTACTATTGAAAACCTTATAGTTTATATAAAATAAATATAGCAATACTCTGAAAGGTAAAGAAAAGAAGGCAGACCAGCTAGGGACCTCAGGACCCAAGGAGCTACAAAGTGGTGAATTCTAGGGTTTTCTTTTTGCCTTACATATACTTGCCTTGGAGGTGAGGAAGCCAGCAATCTGGAAATGCCCATGGTCACAAGCAATTTAAAAACTCCAACAATTTCAGAACCTGTTATTGGTCTATTCAGGGATTCAACTTTCTCCTGGTTTAGTCTTGGGAAGGTGTATGTGTCCAGGAATTTATCCATTTCTTGCATAGAGGTGTTTATAGTATTCTCTGATGATAGTTTGTATTTCTGTGGGATCGGTGGTGATGTCCCCTTTATCATTTTTTGTTGTGTGTATTTGATTCTTCTCTCTTTTCTTCTTTATTAGTCTTGCTAGGGTCTATCAATTTTGTTGATCTTTTCAAAAAAACAGCTTCTGAATTCATTGATTTTTTTTGAAGGGTTTTTTGTGTCTCTATCTCCTTCAGTTCTGCTCTGATCTTAATTATTTCTTGCCTTCTGTTAGCTTCTGAATATGTTTGCTCTTGCTTCTCTAGTTCTTTTAATTGTGACGTTAGGGTGTCAATTTTAGATCTCTCCTGTTTTCTCTTGCAAGCATTTAGTGCTATAAATTTCCCTCTACCCATTGCTTTAAATGTGTCCCAGATATTCTGGTATGTTGTGTCTTTGTTTTCATTGGTTTCAAAGAACATATTTATTTTTGCCTTCATTTTGTTATGTACCCAGTAGTCATTCAGGAGCAGGTTGTTCAGTTTCCATGTAGTTGAGCGATTTTGAGTGAGTTTCTTAATCCTGAGTTCTAGTTTGATTGTCCTGTGGTCTGAGAGACAGTTTGTTATAATTTGTTCTTTTACATATGCTGATGAGTGTTTTAAACTATACTACAAGGCTACAGTAACCAAAACAGCATGGTACTGGTACCAAAACTGAGATATAGACCAATGGAACAGAATAGAGCCCTCAGAAATAATACCACACATCTACAACCATCTGATCTTTGACAAATCTGACAAAAACAAGAAATGGGGAAAGGATTTCCTATTTAATAAATGGTGCTGGGAAAACTGGCTAGCCATATGTAGAAAGCTGAAACTGGATCCCTTCCTTGTACCTGACACAAAAATCAATTCAAGATGGACTAAAGACTTAAATGTTAGACCTGAAACTATAAAAACCGTAGAAGAAAACGTAGGCAATACCATTCAGGCCATAGGCATGAGCAAGGACTTCATGACTAAAACACCAAAAGCAATGGCAACAAAAGCCAAAATTGACAAATGGGATCTAAATGAACTAAAGAGCTCCTGCACAGCAAAAGAAACCACCATCAGAGTGAACAGGGAACTTACAGAATGGGAGAAAATGTTTACAATCTACCCATCTGACAAAGGGCTAATATCCAGAATCTACAAAGAACTTAAACAAATTTATAAGAAAAAATCAAACAACCCCACCAAAAAGTGGGCAAAGGATATGAACAGACACTTCTCTAAAGAAGACATGCATACAGCCAACAGACACATGAAAAAATGCTCATCATCACTGGCCAACAGAGAAATTCAAATCAAAACCACAATGAGATACCATCTCACACCAGTTAGAATGGCAATCATTAAAAAGTCAGGAAACAACAGGTGCTGGAGAGGATGTGGAGAAATAGGAACACTTTTACCCTGTTGGTGGGACTGTAAACTAGTTCAACCATTGTGGAAGACAGTGTGGTGATTCCTCAAGAATCTAGACTATAAATTCTCCTCCTAGCTTTAGACTTACAAGATTTTTTTCTTATGTTTTTATTCTAAAAGCTTGATTGTTACATATTTTATATTTAAGCCCATGTTCTATTTTGAATTAATGTGGAAAGTGTGAGGCAGGTCAAGCTTTATTTTTATATATTATTTATTTAGTTATCTATTTATTTATTGCCTCTGGATGTCCAATTGCTCCAACATCATTCATAGAAAAAGCAATCTTTCCTCCATTAAATTGCTTTTGCACCTTTGTCAAAATATCAGTTGGGTATATTTGTGTGGAAATACTTCTGGATTCTTCTGTTCCATTCATTTGTGTGCCTACCCCTCCAGCCCTGACGTACTCCATCCATACCACACCATCAGTACCACACACAGAGTCTTAATGATTGCACCTAAAAAGCAAGTTTTGAAATTTGGGTAGATGGAATCCTTCCACTTTATTCTTCTTTGTTAAAATAGTTTGAGATATTTTAGCTCATTAGCCTTCCAATATAAATTTTAGAATAGTTTTGTCTATATCCACAAAAAATCTTGGTGGGATTGTGATAGAAACTATATTAAACCTGATCATCAATTTGGGGAGAACTGAAGTAAATACTGTATGGGATTATAATTGATTGTTGTATGTTTATTTTGTATTATGCAACCTTCCTAAACTCGGTTATTATTTCTAGGAGGTTTTGTGTTTTGTTTTTGTAAATTGCTTGGTAATTTCTATGTACACAATCATGCCATTGCATTTATTTCTTCCTTTAAGATTTGTATGAATTTTCATTTCTTTCCTTGCCTTATTACAATGGCTAGAACTTTTAGCAAACTTAAATAAGAGTAGTTACAAGAGCGAGTGTTTTGCGACAGCACGTGACCCTTTTGCGACACCACGTGGTCAGGAGGGGTATAAAAGCGCCAGTGAGCATGCAGCAGCTCCATTCTTTCCGCGAAGCACGTGTGTGTACATAGGAAAGCCATTATGCTGGGATTTTACGAGATTGTGGTGAAGGTTCCCAGCGACCTGGATGAGCACCTACCCAATATTTCTGACTCCTTTGTAAACTGGGTGTCAGAAAAGGAATGGGAACTGCCGCCAGATTCTGACATGGACATAAATCTGATAGAACAGACGCCGCTGACCATGGCCAAGAAGCTCCAGCGCCACTTTCTGACGGAGTGGAGGTCGGTGAGCAAGGCCCCGGAGGCCCTCTTTTTTGTCCAATTTGAAAAGGGGGAGTCCTACTTCCACCTGCACATCCTGGTGGAAACCACGGGCATGAAAAGCATGGTTTTGGGCCGATATTTAGCCCAAATTCGTCAGAAACTGGTTAACCGCATTTACCGCGGGATCGAACCGACCATGCCAAACTGGTTCGCGGTCACTAAAACGCATAATGGCGCCGGTTGGGGGAACAAGGTGGTGGACGATTGCTACATCCCCAACTACCTGCTCCCCAAAACCCAGCCCGAGCTCCAGTGGGAGTGGACTAACATGGAGCAGTATATAAGCGCGTGTTTGAACCTGGCAGAGCACAAATGGCTTGTGGCACAGCATTTGACACACGTCAGCCAGACGCAGGAGCAGAACAGAGAGAATCAGAATCCCAATTCTGACGCGCCGGTAATCAGGTCAAAAACTTCTGCTGGCTACATGGAGCTGGTGGGGTGGCTGGTGGAGTGCAGAATTAAGTCAGAAAAGCAATGGATCCAGGAGGACCAGCAGTCTAGGATCTAGACCTAGAAATACCATTTGACCCAGCCATCCCATTACTGAGCATATGCCCAAAGGATTATAAATCATGCTGCTATAAAGACACATGCACACATATGTTTATCGTGGCACTATACACAATAGCAGAGACTTGGAACCAACCCAAATGTCCATCAATGATAGACTGGATTAAGAAAATGTGGCACATATACACCATGGAATACTATGCGGTCATAAAAAAGGATGAATTCATGTCCTTTATAGGGACATGGATGAAACTGGAAACCATCATTCTGAGCAAACTATCACGAGGACAGAAAACCAAACACCACATGTTCTCACTCATAGGTGGGAGTTGAACAATGAGAACACATGGACACAGGGTGGGGAACATCACATACTGGGGCCTGCTAGGGGGAGGGGGAAGGGTGGAGGGATAGCATTAGGAGATATACCTAATGTAAATGATGAGTTAATGGGTGCAGCACACCAACATGGCACATGTATACAAATGTAACAAACCTGCACGTTGTGCACATGTACCCTAGAACTTAAAGTAAAAAAAAAAAAGAAACCAACAAAATCTTGTGAGTTTTTTTTTTTCTGGAAAACAAACGAACAACAACAAAAACAGGAAAAGAGCAACAGAGAAGAAAGAAAGAAAGAAAAAAAAAAACAACCTTTCAAACAATAATCCCTCTACTGCAACCTAATGGCACTGAAAAGAAGTGTGGCCTCTCCCCTATGCATAGCAGCTAAGGCAAGTGGGGAGACTGGACTTCTACCATTGTGAGGCTGTAAAGAAGAACCACAACACCCTGCTGGGGTAGTGCCAGAGAGGGCTAAGGAAGCTAAGGTGTTCATCCCACCAGCCAATGATGAGTCTTCCCCTACCCCTTATGGTGTCAGTGTATACCACATAGGGAGACTGAGCTTCCAACCTCACACCAAGATGGTGTCAAAGACAACCTAGTAGAAAATCAAGACTTTAACCCCTGCCCAGCAGTAATGAGGCCACCCCCACCGTAGTGTCAGGAAAGATCCCATGAAAAACTGGAATTCCTATCCCCAATGAGCAATAACAGGGAGTCCCCATCTCAGGTGTTAAAGAGGCCAAATGGGGAATCTGAACTTTTACCTTCACTTACAGGTAACAAGATGACAGAGAAAGCTAACTAAAACAGAAGGGTTAAATAAGTCCCAGAATCTCAGTATATAATGTGAAAACATCCAGTTTTCAATTCAAGTCACTTATTATATGTAAAGCTAGAAAGATCTGAAAGTGAATAAAAAAGATATTCAACAGATACAAACACAAAGGTTCCAGAAATGTTAGAATTACCTGAAAAGATTGTAAAGCATACATGATAAAAAACACTTCAATGAGTAATTACAAACATACCTGAAACAAATGAAAAAATAGAAAGCACCAGCCAAGCAATAGAAACTGCCAGTGAAGTAATAGAAGATACTATGAAGAACCAAACAGAGATTTTAGATCTAAAAGCTAAAATAAGTAAAACATTTAGTAGACGGGCTTAACAGTAGATTTTTTCCAAATGAATCAATTCTTTGAAAACATAAACTACCACCACTTGCCTAATACAAAATAGATTATTTCAATAGTCATAACTATTCATGAAATTGGATTTATAATTTTAAAACTCCCTCTAAAATATCTCCAGGACCAGATGGTTGCATTAGATAATTCTAGAAGAATTAAAGCCAATTTGACACAATGTCTTCCAGAAAATAGAAGAAGAGGAAATACTTCCCAGTACATTTTATGAAACTGATAATGCTCCAATATAAAAACCAACCAATGACAGTACAAAACAAATAAAAAACTACAAACCAATATTCTCATAATACGCTTAACAAAATACTAGCAAATGGAATTATGTTATTCAATTATGTGTGTGTATATATATGTGTGTGTGTGTGTGTGTGTGTGTGATGACCAAGTAAAATTTATTTGAGGAATGCAAGGCTGGTTCTATATTCTAAATCAATTTATGGAATTACCATATTAATAAGCTAAAGAAGAGCAGTTACCTGATCATATCAATGAAAGCAGGAAAAGGCATTTGACCTAATTCAATACTCATTCATGATAATAATTTCAGTAAAGTTGTTAGTTAAGAAAGAACATCTACAACAAAGCTTATATCTAAAATCATACTTAATGATTAAAGACTGAATATTTTTCCCCTAAAAGCAAAATAAGGCCTCACACTTTCCACATTAATTCAAAATGGAATATGGGCTTAAATATAAAATATGTAATGATCAAGCTTTTAGAATAAAAACATAAGAAAAAAATCTTGTAAGTCTAAAGCTAGGAGGAGAGTTTATAGACTTGACACCAAAAGCATGATCCATAAAAGAAAAAAAAATGATAAATTGAACTTCATAAAGATTTTTTAAATTTGTTCTGCAAAAGAACCTGCTGAGAAGATGAAAAAATAAACTTCAGAGGAAAATATATTTGCAAACTACAAATAACTAGCATTTAGATTATAATAAAGAATTCTCAAAACTCAGCAAATAAAACAAATAGCAAACAATTCAATTAGAACATGAGCTTAAGACATAACGAAACATTTCACCAATATACAGATAACAAATAAGCACATGAATGATATAAAACATAATTAGCCATTAAAGAAGTATAAATTAAAACCACTCTGAGTGAACAAAAATCAATTCTAAGTGGGGTGCATAACATTTCATTCCATTCACGTAACATTCTTCAGATGACAAAATTATAAAATGAAGAACAGGTTTGTGGATGCAGGGAGTAGGGGTGGGGAGTGGGTGTGACTATAAAAGGACAAGAGAGATGCTTGTGGTGATGGAAATGTTCTAAATCTTGGCTATGCCCATGCCAACATCTTGATTGTATTGTACTATAGTTTTTCAAGAAGTTACCATCGGGGAAAACAGTAAAGGCTACACTGGACCTAACTGCATTATTTCTTACAACTTCATGTGAATATATAATTAATTCAAAATAAAATGATTAATAATAAAAATAATAATTAACTGTAGCTGGTTCTTATTCCAAAGATGTAACAAAATTAATCTCAGGACAGAATAACAAACTCCACAGAAATCTGTATGAAAAAGAAGTCTTCCGAAGGGCATGTTCTAAAATGAGAAATGATGGGGGTGAAGAGGGTTGAATTATCAAAAATAATAAATAATTTTGAATGGTTAGGATAATCCTAGGAGAGAAACAGTAAAGGGATCAGGAAATGAAGAAAAGGGGGAAGATGTGTGGAAATTCAAAATCAGAGGGTCAGGAGCATATTGGCAGAGCCCCCCGAAAATAAATAAGGCCAAGGAGGATTTTCACATGGATGAAATGACTGAGGAGATGTTTTTAAAAAGGATATCTATATTTAATTTATAGTAACTTGTCATATAACAACCCTGAATTTCTCCAAATCTTCTAGAACAGCTTTTTGGTTTGTGTTCCCTTGAAGGAGACTGGAAGAGAAGAAGAAGAGAGGAGAGACTTGCCCTTCCCCACGTGCTTGCTGTTTCTACTAGCATTAGCCTGGCAAGGGCTCTACACCGTGGTCACAGGAGACTGTTTCCAGTCTCCACATGGTCTCCTCCTCAAGATTCTACACTCCGATATCCTCCCTTTGTTATCCCATCTCATCGTTGCCCCTTCTCTTCCCTTTGTAGATGTTTGCTGCAACTGCTACCTCAGTGTTACCTTAACATTCCTTTTGCATCTTTTCTATTCCCTAATGTATTTTAAACCAAACCTTCATGTTTCTCTTTCTGTTAAATATCTTGGATGTTTAATCCAAGATATTTTTTCCTGACAAGACTTTAATATTATACTCATATAAATAATATTCATGAGTGTGAGATTTTTATAAGCACAGATGGAGACAAGCAGTGGACTTGGAAGATGTACAGACCGAAAGCTTCACTTCCTTTGAGACTGACCACAGGCAGAACTAGGAAAGTAATTTAGCATTGCACGAGAGCACTGCCTCAAATCAGTAGCCTTTTATGTTAATATGATATTTATGTTTTTCCAAATAATAAATTCAACTGTGTCAACGTTTTGCCCCTAGGTATAAAATAACACTTTGGGTGGCTTTTCTGCCAGGCGACCAATGAGGTTAGCATATAATTCATTTATTTGTCTTTTAATCCAATCCGTTATGACATGGCAGAAATAATTTTACTAGAAAATGTATAATTATCATACCAAAGGGAATCAAAGGTTAGAAAGACTTAAGTTGAAACCTCAATTGTGTCTTAAATGGTGCCTCTGTAGGTAATAAATAGGCCCCTATTTCATGAATTTACACTTTAATCATTGCAGTGTCTGTTTCAAGCACACAGGCATGTTATTTGTAATTGAGATACACATCCAGATTTCAGTTTAACTTGGAAGACCTCTATAAAAAGGCTGAATATACTGAAGAGCTTCACTGAGTGGTCAAGGACAAACATGGATTAATTCAGGGAGATGCTAGCTGTGTAAGAAAGGACTTGAAAGAATCACCCTACCCAGACATGGTAGAAACCCCAGACTAAGAAAGGACAACCAACCCTACTAAAACATGGTAGAAACCCCTGCACCAACTTCTCTTCAAGATTCCTTTCTGCCATGTTCCAGGTTTTTCTCTCCCTTCTGGTGGCACCAAACTCCGTCCTCAAGAACTCTTAAATTGTTGCTTTTCAACTTCTCAACAAGGCAGAGAAGTGTGGGTAGAGAAAGGTGTTTCAGCTAATGTTTCCGAAATTGGAAAAAGGCAATCTAGGTAGGACTTCCTGTCTTGCCATTGGTGGATTCGCTTATTCTAAAGGGATTTTTTTTTTTTTTTTTTTTTTTTTTTTTTTTTTTTGGCTCCATGCAAACTGAAAAATCTAGGCTTAGTTCTTTTTAAGTATGAATTGATTCCCAGCTCAAACAATGTTATCTACCTCTTGGTTCTGTTTCCTCAGAGCTACTTCAGTTCCCAATTCTGCCCAGAGACACCAAGGAAGCTTCACATTTACAGAATCTCATTCCAGTCTAGCAATTGACAGT